TGTGAGGTGCTGTGCCGCTGCCCCATGCTCCTGTACCCTGTAAAGGAGCACTGTTAGCACCTCTCTGTTTCCCCATTCTGGAAGTCCTGGCACTGAAGGGTACCTCATGGCTTGCTTCAGTCAGCTTCCTGCACCTTCCAGAGCTCACAGCCCCCTCCATCTCAGCACACTGGGGGTCCAGCGGGGCACATGGCTCCACCATGGCCAAAGTCCTGTGGGACTCCTGGCAGCAGCTCCTGGCAGCCCACAGGAGAAGTATGAAAAATAAAGTTACTCTCCTGCCCTGCTATATAACAGTCAGTGCCTGTGGTGAGAACCTGCTCGTGCTTAACAGGAGCCAGGCAGGGGAATGGAGACTGAGGTAGAGTCATTATGTCTAGGAACTGAAAAAGATGAGTTAAATCCAACCAGGCTGAAGTGAACAGCAGTAGGGGAACTTTGGGGTGCAAAACCACTCACACAGAGCTTTATTGTTGGTAAAGCCACATATGCCTAATATTGCCTAAGTGACATTACCAAATTTGGGTACAGATGAAGCAAAACTAGGAACAATGGGGAAAAGCAGTCAGATGTGGGGTGCTGAGAGGGACTTGGTGGGGGATGGAAGAGGCAAGGATGGCAAAAAAATCTTCTTAAAATAATATAAAATAGGGAGTAAGGTGTGAAATCAGGGTATGAGAAAAAAAGGAGGATCCCCCAGCAGCAGCAGCAGCATGAACGCCTGCAGGCAGTGGTGATGCTGACCTGTGTGCCCCAGCCCACTGGGATGCTGGAGGGACCTTCCTTGGACAACCTGCTGTCAGGTCTCTGTCCATCAGATTTGGTGTGGGAGGAAATTGATTTGCACCTCCACACTGACAGAACTGTAATTTGATTGCAATTATGTTTGTGTTTCACTGGACTTCAAACCTGTAATTAACAGTTTCATGCTCAAGCATAATACTCTGCATTGTTATTTAATTACAAGCTAGTATACCTGATTGCCTAGATCACTGAGGATTTTGCTGACCTAGCCATTTCCTTCTAGTGTGATCATTAATCAATGAACATGTTAATCAGTTTGCATCAGCTGCCCTTTGAGTCTCCAACCTGAAGGGGAAGTGTCAGACCTTGGCAGTAACAATGCTAAAAGCAGACTGAACCCAAAATGTTCCTCAGCCTGCCAGTGCCCAATTCTCTGCCAAAACCCGGTATGAAGTTAATTAGTCATTTCTTACTGTCCGGGTCCTTTGTACCCTCTGTGATTTGTCTGTGCAGCTGCCCTCGGCTACTTAAAAATAAAACCCAAATGCCAGAAGGTCCTTCCTCCAGCATCTAGGTTACCAGAAATGATTTCCAAATGCTGCTGTCACAGGGACAGGGCAGGGACCGCCAGCAGGAGACAAAGCGATGTGGGATTAATCTCCAGTGAAGAGGCAGCCTGAGACAGCCAGCAATCTCAGCAAGGACAAACTGCTATGGATGAATGCAGAAGGCTGAAACTGCAGTTTCATCAGTCAGCTACACTACTGAACATTTTGGCAGAAATATCGAATTACTGTATGTATAGGCCGCAGTACTAAATTTTAGTATTCCCTGACCTGTAATTTCTTATGTTGGTGCTTCTGCTGAAAACCAAAAGTCTGGCAACCATTACTCATATTTAACTGAAGCTGGAAAAGACACTCTTGTACTGTAATGAGACAATTCTCTAAATGGAAGAGAAGCTGGTATTGAACTTAAACTTTCACAAATTAGCTTTTGGCTGTTGTACATTTTCAAACATTTTGGCTTACTGTTAGATACAGGTTAGGGATGACGCTTCAGACGCTTGCCTTTGAGATACCACTCTTTCACAGCATCAGGCTTTTACTTTGACACCCAGCCAGAAATATCATAACTGATTTTACCTAATTACCCTTGCTTATATGTTTGCATTCCTCTCTCTCAAAAAGTCTTTGCTTCCTTGCCCCAGATAGATGTGTCTACAAAAAGTCCTGTTTAGCCCTTATGTTTCAAATAAAGGATACGCTGCCATTAATTTTACATGTGTGCTAGACCTTATAGATAGCATATTCCTGATACCTAAACTTTTCTCTCTGGGATTCATGTATCAGTGCACTGACAGTTTCACTGGTGAATCCAGAGCCACCTGGATTAAGCTTTTGCACACCTGTGCTCTCATGGAGGAGTTTATTCAGCCCCTGCTTTTAACTGTGCCATTGGAGATACCCAGAACTGCCCAGATGATGCCACGAGCAGTGTCAAGGAAAGCCGGCCAGGTCTGAGCAGGGGTGGGAACCGCTACCCTCCAAAGGTCACTGCCCACCTCAGATGTTCTCTGGTTCTAAGCAGCAGTGGCTGCAGCCTGCCTGTCAGACTGTAGCACCACGGGACAGTTCAGGCCACCAGAGACCATGGTAGGTCTCCAGTCTGACCCCTGACCAGAGCAGGCTCAGCTGTGGGGCCAGACCAGGGCTCAGGGTGTTATCCCATGGGGGCTGGAAACCCTCCAAGGATGGAGACGGCACCACCATCCTGGGCCCCAGCCTTGCCCCAGCTTTCTCTCCAGAGCTGCCCCTGGTCTCACTGGCATGGCTGCCAGGGCTCTGCCTGCCCAGGATACAGCTGCACCGTGCTCCTGCCCCAAGCATGTGGAGGCCCTGTCCTTTCTTCCCACTGGTCCAGGTCCCTCTGGACAGCCTCCCTGACCTCATGCATATTGACTGGTGCCCCACAGTTTGGCATCACCTGCAAACCTGACAGGGTGCACTTGGTCACCTTCCCAGGTCATGGATAGAGATGTTCAATAGGACAGGCCTCAGGGCCAACCCTGCGGGACACCACAGGGCACCAGCCTCCAGGCAGATACAATGCAGTGACCACCAACTCCAAGCCCAACTGCCCAACCAGGTATTTACTCCCTGGTGGGGCACCCACCCAGAACTTAACATCCAGCTTGGCTACAAGCACATTGTAGGAGAATGCTGGAAGCCTTGCTGAAGTCAATCTATGGCGACCTAGTATCAAGAGATGAGGAGGAGGCTGAAGCACTCAACAAATTTTTTGCCTCAGTCTTCACTGGTAACCTCTCTCCTCATCCCCCTGAGTTGATGGTGACCAGGGGGGGTAAAGCCTCTCCCACTGTAAGGGAAGACCAGGTTTTTGGCCTCCTGAGGAACCTGAATGTACATAAGTCTATGGGACCTGATGAGATGTATTCCAGAGTTCCAAGGGAATTGGCTATGTAGTTGCCAAGCCACTCTCCATAGTATTTAAAAAGTCATGGCAGTCAGGTGAAGTCCCTGCGGACTGGAAAAAGGGAAACATTGTACCCATTTTCAAAAAGGGTAGAAAGGAAGACCCTGGGAACTACTGACCTGTCAGCTTCACCTCTGTGCCTGGGAAGATCATGGAACAGATCCTCCCAGAAGATACGCTAAGGCACATGGAGGCCAGGGAGATAATTCGAGATAGCCAGCATGGCTTCACCAAGGGCAAGTCCTGCCTGACGAACCTAGTGACTTTCTATGATGGAGTGACTGCATCAGTGAACAAGGGAGAACCAATGGATGTCATCTGTCTGGACTGCTGTAAAGCCTTTGACACTGTCCCCCACAACATCCTTCTCTCTAAACTGGGGAGATAGGGACTTGATGGGGGGACTGTTCGGTGGATAAGGAATTAGTTGGATGGTTGCATCCAGAGGGTAGTGGTCAATGGCTCGATGTCCGGATGGA